AAATTGTTGTGTGCCAAAGGTCCCATTGCCTCCCAGCAGGTTTAAAGCTTTTCAGTGGGGTCAAACCACGGCTGCTGTAACTGCACGTTGCCAGACCTCAGATGCACTTACAGAGCACTTCTCTAATCTCCAGAGCTGTTCCTGCTCCTCAGAGCTGCCTGTCCCTGTACTTATGGCAGCATCAGGGCCATCTTCCAGGCAGGTGATGGACAGGAGGTCTCTGCACTGGCTCACCACTGCTGTTTTGCAATTCTTTTAAGGGCAAAGCTTTGTACCTGCCTGCAGATAGGTGCAGGGGAAGAGACACATGCATGTCTGTTTGATCAGAGTGCGAATGGCAAACATGTGATGTGTCCCAGGGGCAAGGAGGAGCATGAAAAATAAGGTGAATTATGAGCCAATTACCAGAATTTTTTATATCTGTGGTTCAGGAGAGGATATATCAAGCTTGGAAAAAACTGCAAGTATAGTTACTTTTCACATTGTCGTTCTCAAGGGTCAAGAAGGAAGTGTGCATCAGTTGTCCAGAGATTAGTCTTTCATAGAAAATAAAGCACTCATTTATTTGTACAGCAGTTTTGTAGGGAACTGGATAGTGAAAGCAGAGGTGAGACAGGTCTGGAGGATAAATTGTTTTGTTACTTATTTAAGAAATAAAACAAACATTTTCTGTGTTTGTAAGGATAAGCAAACAGTTCAGAAGCATTTATCTGTCCCCATTTTGGGGGTCATCCACTTGTGAAGAAATGCCTGAAAAAATGTTGGTAAGTACCCACAGGAGTCAAGCATTTGAGATTGATAATTGAATAATGCTTCACACAAGCTATAGGGGTCAGAACTATACTTGAAGGCACAATGCAATTCTCCTTTACCAGTCAGAGGAGCTGGAGTTACTGCCAGTGCCTGAGTTAAGGATGGCAAAGGCTTTCATGGGATAAACTGGTAGGAGCACAATATATACGCAGGCTACTCCAAAAGTAATGCCTCCAATTTATTTTCAGGAAACTACAACAGGTAGAAAGAGCACAATAACACTAATTGACAAAGCACAGGTTTTCAACACAGCTACCACCATTAGCTGTGCATTTTTGCCAATGATGAACAGGAGCCTGTATGCTGCTCTTGTATAAGCCTGTATCAGAGGAGATGCCCACTGTCGCTATTGCCACAGCTGAAACACACCATTCACTGCCGTGCTGTGCTCACGTCCACTGTTTGGTGTTCATAAATAATCAGCAAGCAAGCACACACTGCCATGTCAGACACCATTCTGTCAGACTGCCCCTCTGCTGCCATCTGTCCCACAGCAACAACGTAGAACGGAATATCGGTGGGAAGGTTCAGCCATTACTTCCATGTCACCACCATCTGCCCTTGACATCATGAGCCAACACAATAAAACAGGAGGCATTCTTTTGGAGCAGCCCTCCAGATGAAGCACTGAGCTTCAAATTGTTCTGCTTCTCTCTGCAGAGTCACCATAGGTACATCACCTCTTTTAACCTGGGAAGGGTTATATCCTTGCAACACAGCTTTCTCTTGAGCATGACAGGAGTGTGGAAAATAACTATAAAGATTAGCTAGTGAATAGCACATCTTGTATCTTTGTGGTTTAGGAAAAAAAAACACCAAACCTTTGTAATGGAAACAGAGCTATGTGTAAGGTGGATTTTGGTTCTGCTATGTCCTTCTATACATTGTCAAAGGAAGAAGAAGAAAACCAAATTTCAAGGTACTTAAATAAGTGCCATTCAGGTTTAAATAAACAAAACAAAGCAAAAACAAACAAACAAGCAAACAAAAAACTTATCTGCTTACTTTAGGATTTTGTAGTGAGTTAAAGTAACTGTGGGCGCAGTTATTCCCAGGAACATTAAGAAACTGTTTACTCAGCAAGGGACCCTCTCTCAGAAACAGCTCCTGTTAGAGGCTTCAGGGCTCCCACACTTGGCATGAGGAGAGAAAAAGCTGCTCACCTTCTGGCCACATGTCAGCACAACACAGCTTGGTGAGCTTGTGTGAACCTCATCAACCACAGCCACACAGACCGAGGTGGCATTCCCCAAGATGTCCCTGCTGTCAGCCCTTTCCCACTTTAAGCTACAAACCCTGTCTGACTACAGAATGTCTTTGATATACCACTTCACCTTCAAAATTTCTAATAATGGCTCCCCAAAAGAACAACAAAAACAACAGACCTTTGCAATTGGTTGAACTGATGGGAATACTGCACTTCGCTATGCTCCTGGCGTTGTCTGGCCTCCCTGCACCTTTCTGTTGAATCTCCTTCACTGGATTTGCAGTGAAGTCACCAAATCACCCTCAGACTCACCTGCTGTTGTCAGCCTGATGGGGTTAGCCATATTAATAGCTTAGAGCAGTATCTCTGACCACTTCACAGCAACCCCAGCAAATGTTGAACCAGCCCTCCTTCATAGTGACCCTGCTCAACAGCACTTACTGGTTGAAAGCACATAAACGCTGAACATCTGTTCATTACCAAGTGACAGCTATTTGTCATCCTATGGCATGTTGCTGCCTCATCAGCTAGCCAGTTGGACTGCTCTGAGCCCAAGGACTTTCACGTGCCAGGATTAATACATTGGCTATTCAGCCATAATAATGTGTAAATACTAATTTGCTACTCCTGGTTTCTGCATTTTAAGTCAGCACGGGTTACATGAACACATTTGTGCAAGTGAAAGCATGATTTTCCTCACTGTATCCTGTGATACGGGGGCTGGTCCAAAAATGATGCTTTCTATTTTATCACATTAGCCCTTGACATCAGAGGTGGATGGTGGTGGTGCAGCAGTAGGGTTGAATCCCCCCACCAACATTCTATTACATTTTGTTGCCATGTGACAGATGGCAGCAGGATGGCATCTGACAGAATGGCATCTGACATGGAAGTGCATGTGAAATAAAAGTGTGTCATGGGATTCGTTCATATGGTAAAGTTCGCACCCACTGACATTCGTAGATCCTTGCTGAACGTTTATGGAAACCAAACAGTGGACATCAGCACAGTGAAGTCACGGGTGGAGTGCTCCAGCAGAGGTGACAGCGACAGTGATCACATCCATCGGTGCAGAACTTTATGAGTGAGGCATGTAGGCTCTTATTCACTGCTGGTGAAAATGCATAGCTAATGGTGGTGACTATGTTGAAAACTACTGATTTGTAGCTGAGAATTTGCTCCATCAAATATTGTTATTGTGCTCTCTATATCTGCTACAATTTCCATGGAAACAAATAGGAAACATTACTTTTTCAGTGACATATGTATTTATTGATTCTGAATTGCTTTCCATAGGTGTTAGCTTGTGCTGTCTAGAGCACAACATACATAGCTATTACTTAGCCATTAGCAAAGAAGTTGGCTGTGGTATGTCTTTGGCTCAGCATTTCTCTTGACATTTCTTGCACTGGTGTCCATAATGCTGGCTATGCTATCCCCTTGTCTCTAATATGCCAGGCATAAGTACCTTATTCTGAAACTGGAATTCCTGTATTATTCTATGTGATGTACGATGCCCTGTTTACCATGGGTAAACAGTGTTTGAGCCAACTCATGTAGAGGGTTTCTATCTATTCTGCTAATATTTCTTCTGTCTCACTTGCTAGGCACGTACCTCTGAGGTGTACCCCTGAGTTTCCATATTGCTGATCTCAGTGCAGCTAACTGCTTCTCCGATCACTGTAATGCTCCTTGTCTGTCTCTGAACTTCTCAGATCATCTGACCTGACAGAACCTGTGCTCTATGAACTGTTGGATTCGCCCTTTAATTTTAGCTAGTAAGCAAAAGCATGGACACAGCTGTGAGCTATCTGCTCTCAGTGACCCTGCAGAAGCAGAGCACCCAGGTGACATAGCCTTAGCTCATCTCTGATGCTCACAAGACAAACCACGTCAAATCTTAGCCGGTCAGCATTTGTCTTGACAAGACTTTTCAAGAATTGGTTCCCGTGAAAGACAAAAAAATACAAAACAAAACAAACAACAAACAAAAACAAAACAAAAAAACCAAGCCATGCTACACCTCGGGGTATGCCAGAGCCCAGAAAAATCAGAGCATTATTTACGTTTGTGGTGTCAATGCTCTTAATATTACTTCCAGTTTGGGGCCGTGCATCTCCTTAATCTCCTGCCCACTGGCACAGTGTCCAGTTCCACCTCTCGCAGACAGTCCTCACTGCTACAGCTTCCTCCTCTTCTTTTGCCTCCAGGACTGCTTTGACTTCATTTCTCTTCCACTTTTACTTCCATATCTTTATTCCCTCCCCTGTGCAAAGCACACAGAGCCTTCCTGCAGGCTCAAAGAGTAAGTGCAATTCAAAGTCATAGAATCACAGAACCACAGAATCATAGAATCCTAGAATGGCCTGGGTTGAAAAGCACCACAATGATCATCTAGTTTCAAGCCCCCTGCTATGTGCAAGGTCGCCAACCACCAGACCAGGCTGTCATAGCTTAATTTTAAAACTGTGACACTGCTGAAGCATTTTCTGAAAATCTGAAAGAGCCTCCTTGGAAACCAAGTAAATAATATTTTCTGGGCTGGTCAAGCTGTGTGATTGATCTAAAGAGATTACTGTTAAGACTTACATTGCTAACTGAGTAATGAGCCTTCATCTGATCAGACATTCCACACACTTGCTATCAATATACTATCTGTGTTCAGTGATTAGCACAGCCTCAGTGAGGGCAGCTTCAGTGATGTTTGTACATTTAAGCAGTTAACTTTTTTTAGAGATGGTGATTTCCTTGTAGTTAAATTTGAAAATAAAACCAAGCACCAGTGAACTCAGTGGCAAATCTCCCACCAGCTTAATTGGCATCAGGATTCTCTGCGTGTTTGAAATAATTCCAGGTTTCTAAATCCTTATTTAAAGGATTATTGCTTGAGTAAGTCTTTTACAGTTATGGCCAATGTGGACATTAATAAAGGGTGATGAAAATCTCAGTTACAAAGAGAAAAAGGCTGAAAACTATTAAATCTGTGCACAAATCCAGTTTTATTTCAGTTACCTGGAAGGACTTCAGTAGCTACACAGAACACTTTGGAAACTGGACATCAGCTGTGTTAAGTATGATTAGTCTTATTAAAACCCCAAATCTCTGCCCAGTTTTGAAAATCACTGTGCATGAAGCATTTTGCTGCTCCTGTTTAAAACAAGATCTGACAAATGAAATTGTAAAAAAAAAAAAAAAAAAAAAAAAAAAAAAAAGTAAAAAATGCACAAAACTATCAAAATGGCTTAGATCATTAAAACCTAAAAGAGTTAATTAAAAAAAAAAAAATCTGCTGATTGCATCTAGTGTACTACTCATAGGTACAAGTGACTGGAAGCTTACAAATGTACGTGGTTATTAATTACACTGAGAATTTACATACATCTAGGGCCATTAAGTAGTGCCAGATGATGTTTAAAACCCTATTTCTGATACTCTCAGTGTGCTAACAGAAGCAGAATCAAAAGGAGGCTAGAATCAGAAAACAAACTACTTAATTCTGACTTGGCAGTAGCCCAAGGAAAGGCATCTAACCTCTGAAGTAGTTGATGGCACTAGCTGGCTTAGTGTCCCGTGATCACCATTCACTCAGGGAAAATGGGGGTTTGCTGGAAGCTGCCCTAGTGTACATCTACACACAAAGTATACAAAGAGCCACACGAGTCTTCTGTCCCTGGTTCAACATTCAGCAGGTCTTGTGCAAACGCGTGCTGGTGCTCCTCAGTTGTTCTCCTGTGGCATTGCCATGACCTGCAAGTGAAAAGGACAGGTTGCTGTTTTAAGGAAAGAGGCACTGAATGTCCTTGCTCTTGGTGCACTAGTTCTCTGTACTGCTCGCAAGGCATTCCACACATTTTATAGAGGGTGCTCTGAACATGATCAAAGCAGTCTTGTCATCCATCAGCTCTGAGTGTGACCACGAGCAAGGCCTTGGCCAAAAAGGCAGCTGAAGGGAGCGGACCCCTCAGGCCTGAGCTCACAGCCGTCTGATGGAAGTGGGAAGTCCAGCCTGAACAGCAGGCTGTAGTGAGAAACTGCCCTCCCCAGTAAGACCAGTGGCAACAAGAAGTGCTGGTGTGCTTTGGAACTGAAGGCATTGCCAGCTTTACCTCAGGAACTTTCGCATCAGAGCTCTTACAGTTTGTACTCAGACTGTGTCAGATGTAACTTCCATGGGCAAGGCTATGGTAGCATAAGGACATGCTATTTTAATTATTAGACCTACATGACTTATTTACCTACAGAATTTACTCCAGAATTAATGAATTAAAACTCCAGCATAGCTAGAAAACTCTAGAGATTTACCTGAATGTTTTACTTGCGAAAAACGGGAAGCACTGAACGTGCTTTGGTTAGGCAGATTTCACTAGTAAAAGATATATATGCGTGCTTCACCTTACACTCTCTGTATTTTTAACTGATAGCTCTCTTCCTTTTGTGTGTCTTTTCGAGATAAGGTAAGCAGAAGGAAGCCTGAGTTTCCACCGAGCTTTCCAGAAACCCTCACGCTGTCCAGAAGGCTTTGGTAGCATGAGGTCATTTAAGATGACTGGGTGGCCCAGCCCAGACGCTGCTTTTCCCCTTGCTTCAATTTCATCTGCAGCATCTCATGGAAAAGACCCAGTGACTAAGATTTACCTCTGTCCAGCAAGCCAGATCCAATTCCCCACAAAGATACAGGCATTGTCAATTGTTTATAGATTAAGAGTAGCAAAACAGTCCAGGACTAGTTTTGCTTGCTGTCTTACATTTTTCATGTTCAATAAGCGCTTAAAACAAAAAGGAAGCAGGCAAATACAAAACTCCCATATTAATTTTATTAAATATTTTTTCACATAATTTCCCCTAGAAATCTGAATTAGAAGTTTGGGTTTACTTTCTCAAAGACCTTTCAAAAGTGTGAGTATTAAAGTTTGTGTTTTAGCCATTTGGTAAAGTAATCATATAGTGTGACAAGCTTCCAATAATTTACACTGTTCTCACTGATTACATAAAAATTCAACACGATCTTACTTAGGGCTAACTCTGTTAAACTACTGAATTTCTGGCTTCTGTGCAGGGTGAAATTGTTCTGCAACTAAGAGAACACAGTCATTGAACTTCCCATATGGCTGACCAACAAGAATCTCTTTTCTCCCCTTTTAAGAGGTTTGGTTTCCCAGTGCATGGAATAGTGCTAGCAGGAGCCCTAATAAGCTCTCACAGATGTCCTAGCACAGTCTCCTAATGCTTATGTTAAGATTTCTATTCTACCCAAATACAACCTCATGCAGTTGCTTAAAAATGCAGACAACAGCCAACCAGCCAACTCTTTCTCAAATCATACTTTTTCCATTTCAAAGTTTCAGTTGTGAAGAATTATATTCAACTTATTAAAAAATGCTTCAGTTCACTGTAAGTTACGAGGCTTAAAACATCTGACTTGAAAACTGGTGCTTTTTGGCAGAACAGTTTATACGGGAAATGTTACACATGACTTAAACTGGATAAAACGATCTGGCCTCTTTGCTGTTTTCCATTGACTAGGTTGCTTTTACCATCATTTGCTGCCTGAAGGCATGCAGCTAAGGGCCAAGTTCTCATTTCCCAGCACAGAACTTATCTCCTGCTGACCAAAGGGAGGTAGGCTGTTTCAGCACTCGCACAAATTGGTCAACTGAGTCCACAGGAAAGAGGAAATGAGGTTGTGGGCTCAGCAGCCAAATCCAGCATCATCACCCACATGTGGCAAGTCCTCAGATTTGGTTTTCCCATTTATAAAATACACGGCTGTGTTGCCCTACTCTCTTCCAAAGCAGAGAACTGCACACCAGGGGGTTGCTAACAGAAAAACTGAGTGGTGTTTGGAATCAGGCTTTACACTGATGCGAGGCATGAGTATCCCAGGAGCTCCTGCCTGAGCTGGGCAGGCCCCAGGTCCACTGCTCCCACATGCAGGGGCAAGAGGGCAGCCCTCAGCCCCAGCCCTGTGCTCGGAGCTGAGGGCTGCTGGGGAGCGCACTGCCTCCTACTTACACAGGGAGTCCTTTCTCCAAACTGGCTGTAGAAGGTCATCTTGACTTTGTGCTTGTGCCCCGTCCTCTGGTCAAAGGTGTTGCAGCTGTCAAAAGGCGGGCTGTACAAATGCAGGCTGACAGCAGTCTCTGTGTGGCTGATGTTCTCCACACGGTGCAGGCCAATGGTGTCTACACAAGTTGCGGCACGAAACAAGAAGTTGAGTTAACAGGCAGATTTAATGAGATCTCAAATGCCTGGGAAAAAAAAAGTTATCTAAACTTAAACCAGTGAGCAAGCCAGTTAGGCATTCCTGCACTTTTAAGGGCAATGCATAACTCAGTGCAGGGAATCTGACTGCTGATCTCCAGCACAGGTTCCTGAAAACTTCAAATCACCTTACAGCCTTTCACACCTCCCATAATGCTGGATTATCTGCTACTGGCTGGGGGCCAGTAGGAATACAGAAAAGCCTGAGGACAGCCTGTCAGCTGTTTTCAAGCTATCATTTCCAAAGGAGCTCAAGGTAATTTAATTTCCTCAGAGATGCTGTTATAGATCCTCTAGAGGCAGGACAGTTCATGTTTCTTAAAAACATCAAGATGTTCTTCAGGGAGGAAGTTTTTGTATTTCTAATCCTTAGCCCAGTTAACAAGGACGTCAGTCATGTTGTCAGCTACTTGTATCTGGGGCAGAGACATAGTTATCTTCTGTTGGAGGCATCTGTTTACTAATTAATCTTTCCAGAGTGTTAGTTTGGAGCACAACAGCCTTCTCATTTGTCTGGTCTTTTGAATAAGGTGACAAATTACTAGTGACTGGCACACTCCCAACCTTAGCTGAATAGCAAGCATAATTGAACTTGTAATAAAACAAGGCACTGTCTGTTGTGTGGCTACTAACAAAGTAATGGTGCCTGCTGGAGCAATGGAGTAGAAATCAAGCAGTCACATGAAAATGTAAGGTATGAAGAATCACATCCACCCCCAAGAGAACATTTCCATTCTGCAATAAATTTGAGATTTTGAGTTACGTAGAAGAGACCTTGTATTCAAATTCATGACCCTACTGTAGAAACAATTCAGGCTTTCGTACCTGCACTGATTTGTTATATAATACCTACACTGGTATTGCACAGTGCTCGCATATTGCTCTGAATCCTATGGGCACTTTTAACTTTGGTAACACTGGAAGTGTAAGCTCCAGGTGTCATTACCATAATTTATTTAGATAGAGGATGTGCTGTCCTAATTCTGTGCACATGCAATAGACTTGAACTCAGCTGAGTGGATTTTAACCTCAGAAGTAAAGTACAACAGTAGCCAAGAAGCATGCAGTGAAAACATGAAGCACACTGTTGAAGTATTTCAGGTAACCAACACACCGCCAGTGTTTTCCTTCTAGTTGTTTTTTATCTATCTGCTTTATTAGTCATTTATTTTTAAAGCAAACTGTCAGCCAGGAAACATGTCAGAGATCCAAACTGGCCCAGAAAAGCAAATATCAAATTTGTTTTAAACAACAGAGAAAGTTTGGATTAGTTGCACATGCAGTATAATTCCTTGCAAGGGAAATAGTTGCACAGTGAGGAAGATCTATACAAGCATGAGAACCCCTTGGCAGCGGTGTGGGAGCAACCCTTTCATCAGCAGACATGTCAAGCTCCTGTCTGCATTTCCTGCCCTGTGGATTTTGTGATTTCAGTTAACACAGCATTCCTTTAACAAAGGGCTGCAGAGTCCTGCTCTTGCTTCCTCCATGCTTAATACACAGCTCAATATGAGGCTCTGCTAAGGAGCTCCAGGGCTCAGCCCCACCAGGTGCATGCTCCAGCTTCTAAGCCATCACGCAGAAGCAATCACACCATCACACTACTCAGCAATACTCACTGCCCTTCAACACGACGTGTGATGTCTTTCATAGGATCAGACCATGATAACCAGCTGGTCACTACCAGATGGCCTTCAGCACAGCACAACACACGCTGAAACCATGGGTACGCACAGCGGCACAGCTGTAGGTATCTGGGCAACCATACTGCTGGAGACTTGGCTGTCCCATGAGGTGAGGCAATCGTTTTGTAAACTGAAATGCTCAAGTCTGCCCAGCTGTGCTGACACTGCACTTCAGCACTATGCTCTCCTGATGGTTTGGACAATAAACCTGGGGATCAGGGCCTTTGCTTCTGCCTGCTCCGTGTACTCCATCAACAGCTTTTGTATTTTTTGTCCCAGGATTTCCACTGCTTACCAAAAGGATTACTTCTTTGGAAAAAAATACAAAGATTAAGATGATTAAACTGTCAAACCTTTAGTTCCCTTATTTCTCACAAAAACTCCAAGTTTATAAGCAATTTCAGATATTTATTAGGGACACAGCTCTGAATGGAGAAGAGGAGCTATCTAGCACATCTAAGCATCAAGCAATTGTTGCAGTTATGAGCGAGTTGAAGGACTATTTTATTTGTTCTACCGAACGTAAATGCGCAGTTTTGTGCAGAATCTAAAGATCCCTGTTCTTTGACAATCATGCAAAATGCCATAAGCATCACACTATTAGATGCAGGAGACTATTTAGAGAGCACACAAACTCTTTTGCTAGAAATGGGACTCAAGGATAAGTAGTTGTCAAACAACAAGCTATTAGAAGAGCTTACCATTAATATAGGCACATTGATTTTCTCTCAAAACTCGCTCTGATTTCTTAGTCATTTCACCATTCCCTTTTTTCTCAGGCCATTCAAACAGAGTCTCCTTTAGATTTCCCTGGAGAATCTTCATAAAGCAGTGTGAATCAGTGTGGTCATGGATGCTGCTATATATGTGAAAAGAATAACCAAACTCAGAAGGATATGCATATTTAAGTACTGCAAGCTACACAGATGGCACAACATACAGTATCTGGATGTAGCCTAAGAATTATACTCAATTGCACATGGGTCATGCACAGTAACCTTAGGAAAAAAGAAAAGAAAAAAGGCAAGGACATCCAGAGGCACTAGGATATACCTACTTAAAAACAACCTGTTAGAACCATACTGGGATAAGTTTACACATAGCAGGATTTAAGGAAGCATCAGATATTGGTCAACATGTGACCTCGCCAGGGAAAAATACAAAGGAAGTCTAAGAAGGACGGAAAAAAACATCTTTAGAACAGCAAACTCCTGTGGGCCAAGAAATAGAACAATGCTTTCCAGTGATCTCCGGGCAGAGGCCAGAATAAACTTGCAAACACATCTGATATTTGCAGATTCACCATGTTCCCCCCAAAACGTGGGATAACTTACTGACTTCCACTTAATTTCTACAGAGTCTTTACTGTTGGGGTGCACAGGCACTTACTGAATAAAGAAAACACTCTGATAAGTACAACCAGCTATAGTAACCTGTTAATTTCACTGGTATGGCAAAAATGAACAAAAACAGCAGGATTTGGCACAATCTGTGTGTTTGCTTGGTCTGTCTCCTTGTTCAGAACTATTTGCTACAACTGGAGATACGTGGGCTGGATTTTATTTGGTTTTATTTTTTTTAAATAGAGGACTAACTGTTAGAGCAGCCAGCAGACTGGGACAAAGGGAGACATCTCCGTTCACTGGGCTGATGGAGGAAAGGGGAATTTGGCCTCTCTGAAGCACAGTCCTATTGAATTTCAATTAAAAACTTGGTATTTGTACATTACTGCTTTCAATAAACAAACTTCTTTAAATGTTTTATTTCTTCAATAAAAAAAATCATCTCCTCTACGAAGTGAGATGTCAAAAAGGCAGAGCTTACTTCAGGCACGGAACACTTCACAAATGACACATTGTCACAGTCCTTCCACAAGCCATGAGAACAATCTGATCCTCCTCACATAGGAAGCAGAAATCTGCTTGTGGTCTCTGTCTAGCTCTAGTAAATGCTCATTCAACTCAAACAGAGATTGACATAAATCACAGCCTTTGTGACAACAGCCCCGAAGGACCAGCAGTGGTGGACTTGATTCTTACATGTCTCTGGGTATAACTTCAAGGCATCCAGTAGAGAATACCACAAAAGTTCGCTATGCGTGCTCGATTAAAACAAACAAAAGCCTCGTCCTCGCAGCTGCCTAGAGCTGTTTTTATATAGAAGGCCAAGCAGCCAAAAGTTTTGTTATTTCACGTCGCATTTTGGCCAATGTTTTGTGAAGAACCCTCCGTGGGACAGGTCCTTCCTTCAGGTTGTAGGACACACAGCTCACAGGGAGGAGGAGGGATGCCTGAGCCCACGGATCAGAGTTCTCACCCAGATGTACTTCTATCGTCATGTGGCAAAGACTAGATTGAAACAACACAGGAGAGCAAAGGCTGCTTAAACTGGACCAAGTCCTGCTTCTGCAAAGCCTCTCTCACTGCAAAGTGAGGCAGATCTCCCAGAACCAGCACGGTCCATCCAACCTGCCCTACCCCCAGGACCCACTGCAGTACTGGATTAAAAATGTTCTCCCAGAAAGGGAGTTTAATTGGCAAGAGTATTTATCCTAAACGCTCTAAAAAAGTCCGTGAGGTACAGCCTTGCAAAAACTAAACAAACAACCAAGTATTCAGGACTGCTATCCAAAATGAATAATGACCAGTTCTGTACTGCTTAATTTCCAGGTGTTTTCTAACAGCTCGTGCAGGGCTGATTATTTTCTTCTTCTCATTTAACAATGAAAGATACAGTAGCTTTATATCTGTTTGCTAAAGCTTTGAATACAAACCTGCCATGTCCTTCACCCCAGCACAAGATCATCAAGTTGAACTTTCCATTTCCATTGTCCACAAGATTTCTTGTGTATCTGCAATATAAAGTGTTTGCTTTTCTAACTGTACTGATATGCTCATGAAAGACAAAATTATATAAACACTGCTATACAAGCGAGCTGCAACATAAAAACCTTGTTACTGAAAGAAAAGTTTTTCTTGGAAAAAGTGAAGTTGAACTTTAAAGCTGTTTTTGTGAAAGTACTTTTTCCTCAGCAGGTAAAAATTGGACATGGTTAATATTTAACAGCTTTTGAATTACATAGATAGATCAGAGTTTGGGAACTGTGAGTCTAAGACTAGAGTGGTAGACAGGATCAAATCAAAATAGCTATTGAATGAAGTCACTCCAGCAGCTGGCTTATAATTAGAAACAGAAGACTGCTATGAAATAAGAAAAATACATGGTAACATCATTCTACAGCTATTTTTTGGATACTCTTGGCTCTTTCTCGTTACACAGCATTCACTTGAACTAGGCCAAAAAAATAAAAATAAAAAAAAGTCAGGTTTTCACTTAGAACTTTGAGGACAAGGACAAGAGTATACACCTCATACCATAGTGTTCTTGTGCTTAGACCCATACCAACGGGTCTAATTTCTGCCAGCATTTCTCTAGCTTAAAGGTAGAAGACAAAATACTTGCTTTTAAAAGCTTTGCAATCAGTGTGTATTCCAGAACATTATTTGCTCTTGAGGTTTGAGGGGGTTTTCTGAACAGCCACACTGGTTTCCTTGCACCCCTGGCATGCCTTTCCCACTCACCACACGCCGCTGAGAAGCTCCCTGCAGAAGCTCCCTCCTTTCTCTTTGCCTGGCAAATTGCTTGCCATACTGTGGCTCTATTGATTCAAGGCTCATGCTTCTAGCTGTTACAGTGCAGATCACCCATTGATTCTGTGTTAGCTTTAGTCATGATCATTAGCACTTTGCCAAATAAATCAAACTTATGCCCTTTAGAGATGCCTTGCTTTTATCTGAATTATGCAAGCACAAACACGCAGAAACTGCCTGATATCAGTTGATTTTGTAATAGTTTCTTCTTAATCCCACTCTATTGCAACAAAGATGGGAAGCAGACCATATTCAAAGCATAACACCTATGCCAATATGCTGCCTTTTAGCACTCATAATCTTTGTGTGCTTTAGATAGGGATAATTTCTCCTACCACGTCAGAGCACAAGCTATCAATGCTGGCAAAGGAATGGACTCTCCAAGTGCTGTTATTTCAGTCAGCAGGTCAGGCTGCCAGGCAGGCTGGCATTAGAAACATTTCTAATCCTTACTTTCCTTAAGTTTGTGATTTGTCCCAAACAGAGAAAACACGAGATGAAGAGAGGTTAAAAACCCCAGACCACAGCAGCGAGGTGAGAGGGAAGAGTCCGTTCGGTCTGCAAGTTTCAAGGAAGATGCTCAGACAAAATCCACCTATTTCTAAACGCAAGAGAAGGGAGCCACCAGCGGCAGGACCAGCCCAGCTGTCGCGCGGCGGATCGAAGCGCCCGCTAACCGCGCCGTCCCCCGGGGACGCAGCGCAGAGCTTCGCCCCGCGGAGCTCCGGAGCAACGCCCCCCGCTTCACCCCCGCGTCCTCTGGGCCCGAGGGGACCTGAGCCGGGCCGCCTCCATTGGCCGCCGCCGCCCCGCCCGCTCTCCGCCCCGGCTCGGCCCTCCGGGGGCACAACGAGGACCACCGCGCCCAGGTCGCGATGGCGGCCCGAGCCCGGCGTGCCGCCCGGAGGGGCTGCGGCGGGGGTCGGCAGGGCGAGGGACGCGGCGGGGCCCCCGCTCGCCTACCTGTACTGGTCGAACTGGGCGTACTGCAGCCACTCGTCGGGGTTGCTCTCGTAGGACTCCATCAGCGCCTGCACCTCCTCCACACTCACTTTGTCCTCGGCGAAAAGCCGGTGGAGGATGCGGACCAACTCCTCCAGGCTCCCCGCCTTCCACATCTCCGTCTGCACCGGCTGCTCCATCGCCGGTCACCGTCCGCCGCGCTGCCTCGCCCGGCTCCGCCGCCCGCTTTTATGTGGCCGGGAGGCACGGCGGGAGCTGCCACCGCCCCGGCGGGCGGAGGGGCCGGGCGGCGACGGGCGGGACCGCGGCCAGGCCTGCCCGGCCCTGCGGCGGCACAGACACCGGCGGGCGGGGCTCGGATCCCTGCCGCCGCGAGCCCCTCGGCCGGGGACGGCCGTGCTGCCGCCGAGGGAGGAGGCGGTGATTTCAGGCCGGCTTTGTAAGGTTTGCAAGAGCTGAATCTGTGCGTTGCAACCAGGAGACTCTGCTAACGATAGCAACGGCCACTGCGTGGCTACACGAAAAGCATCCCTTCTTTGCAGCTGAAGGGCAGGCGAAGAACGAGCACATCACTTCCTTTGGTGGGATGTTCAGTGTTTGTTGATGTCCAGGTATTTAAACACAGGAAAAAACATTATGCTTCCACTGTTAATTCCAGACACTTCAGAACTTTGATTTGTTTGGCACAGCGTTGATGGCATCATTAGAGATGCCTTTAGATGCAACAGGGGGGGCACTTTGTACCTCCCTGTGTTACGGTTGAGGGCTAGACTGGATTTACTTCCTGCAGTTTCACACTGCAGCTGTCGTTGGTTGTAGCTCACTCATTAAGCTGCAAACATAAATTCTTTCAGAATTATATATATATATATAAATTATATAAATATATATAATAAATTCTTTCAGTTTTTTTTCTTTAACTTCATTACAAGATTGATATTCTTCTAGTATACTCCTTCCCTGTTCTCCTCCCTTTTGTTCCTATTCACATCTATTCAGGAATATTTTCACTCTGAATATTTCAACACGAGGTGTTAATCCTGAAAACCTCTGAAGGAGTTCATTAATTGACTGCATGAAAATCATTAGGAACAATGGTTATGGATTTTTACTCACTGCACTGACAGAAATGGCACAAGGATCCGAGCTCATATACAGCAGTTGATGCTGTATATAACCTCAGTCATAGAGGCTGTCTGCCACTGACAAACTAAATAGAGTGTGGTAATCCACGCAGAACTGGAGTTGTCTTCACGTTATCAGTTGCCCTTTTTTGAAGAAGTATATGGCATTATTCCCATTTCATTTCTTAAAATCATCCGTTTATACTCCCATAGAAATTAATTAATGCTCATGTTCCTCAGCTATTCACTGGAATACTCCTCAAGTCTGTAGGAGGCTTTATTCCATCAAATGTAATAGATGTTGTAACTAAGTTTTAAAACAAAAAGCATATGTCCATTCTAAGACTGGCTACTTGAATCTAGTTTGAAAAGGATGCCCAAAGCTACTGAGGCAAACAGCACAGTGGTTTTTGTTTTGTTTCTCTGATAAATGAGCCCTTTTCCTTTGCTTAACAGTGGCACTCAGTGGCATCTCTCAGAGGAGGAGACACATAATCATGTTTGGTGCTGCTGAATCTGTGTGGTGCTATGGCACCCACAGGATGCCAGCATTTCTATCTGAAATGTATGCAGATAGCAGAGTGCCTGCAGTGGACAAATACACTTTGGGCTGGAGCAAGAGCAAGCAAGGGAAGAAGTGTAAAGGTCTGAGGATTTTTTTCCTGTGTTTCACATGTCGTCCTTGTGAAGAGCAGAGGGTTTGCACAAACAGTGAATCATTCTTGCACTTGTTATGACGTGACTTCACTGAGAGGCACAGAGGAAAACAGCAAACTATTCCTGCTGATGGTTAGAACTCTGCCGTTGACGACGGGAGGTTAGGCTATAATCACAGAAACACTGCTTCATAGACAAATGCCTAACCACTCAGCTCTTACCAAGGACAGGTGCAGGCACTGTGAGAAGTCTTTGGACGTGACATCGAACACCAAGTGAGACACCAGTTCATGATCCAACTTGTTATTGGCAGCCCACCTCTTCCGGCTGCGCAGCTCAAGCGCTGACCTCAGTTTCTTTGCTTCTGCTGGGCAGTAAGAGAAAGTTAGGACCTACAGCTGTAGTGCATGTTGAAGGCATTGCAGGCTTTGGTGCTGTTTGTGTCTCAGTGGCAGCAGCTCTCTAAGAAGGGTTAAGAGAACAGAGCGTGTGGTCACAAGTCGGTAATAGAGAAAAGGTTAATAATCCTCTCCAGGGGTACTTGCCTCACTTGCCCCAATGTATCGCATTTACAGACCCAAAGATTTACAGTATGGTTGCTACCTTTTTCTTTAAGTGATGTAAGGACTGTGCCCCGCATCTGAAACCTCAGGTGACTCAGCCTACGACACCGGTGCCTTTTATTCCTCATGAACTCTTGGATAGATGCAATTTGTACAGAACACACCTTTTGGGTTAGAACCAAGAGGAAACGTAAGCAAATATTCATTGCAAATGTCCAATTGGCATTTGGAAATATATAAGAGTATGCCATCTAAAACAGCAGTTCCCAAACTCTGATCCGGAAGACAAAGCAAAATGATGAGATACATCCAGATGGGCTGGGCCGTGCTGGGGCTGTGGAACAGCACTGCACGCATAACCTGGGGAGACTGATCCTGCAGTGTGCAGCAGGCTTGCTATATGAGAATCTGCAGCTTGCAAAACGATTCACTAAAGGAGTTTGAGAATAAGTCATATTATACATCATGCAGTGAAATCAATCAGACTACAAAACACAGTGATCAGGGAGTGAAATGAGTGCAGTGTACACCGAGTCTTGCCATATGCTGAACACATGGGTCGCTGCTAAGCAGTGTGTGTGCTGCTGGATGAGGGAAAACGTGTGGGAGAGCTGCACGGCATAAACCATACAGGCTCCTAAAGTAAGTAGTTTGATCCAATTTCAGTGTGTGGTTGGTGTGCCGCATGAAAGGTGTCTATGTTAGGAACAAAATATAAAAGACTGGCACCCATACCCTCTCTGTGTGAGAACCAAATGAAAGCACACTTCTGTTTCTTTAGATTTGCAGTACTTAGCTGAGAAAGCTAAATAAAGTCCTTCCTAGACTTCTCTGCACTGATGGTATTTACTGTGTGGTTTTGTTTGGATCTATTCTCTTCTGTGAGGTTTCCTGTTTCAGAGCTGGAGAGCTCTTAATGCATTTTAATTCCCGAGAGCTGCCAAGGTTCTGTTACCAAGTTCTGTTACCAAGCTGGGTTTGAGGGAAAGACATTTTTCTGCTCTAACTTCATATGGGGACTTTTGCAGCTGGAACAACTAACTGTACCCTCTTTGATTTTTTATTTTACTATTTTTTTTTAATGCTAAAGCTCTCTGTGCCGTGATATTTTAACACTATTTTCACATAGTCTGGTATGTATACATAAATAATATGCAAATAAAACAGTTCTGTGAAAAGATGTAGAGCAAGGACCCGGACTCCTGCACTTTTCCCTAACTGTTACTATTTAACATCCATCGGGCATGCCTAGTAAGAAAAATCATTATTAAATTTAGACAAGCAATTGTTACTTCCCTCACCACCTGCAATCTGATCGCAGAAAGAAGTCGCAGCATCTGGCTGTCAGTCTGCATTTAGAGCAGGTATGTATGTGATAATTACAAGGAAGGAAAGCTGCAGAGCCATTTCTAAATATATGTGAGGTTTCTTCTCAAGTTCAAAGAGGGACAGTGTTTTTTTCCCCCATATTTATCCACTTTTTTTTTTTTTCTTTTGTTTTTCTCTTGATGTGGATACATGGAAGCCAATCTCACCTGTGTGAACTGTGGGACTGTGTATCCACCAGTAAATATGCCAAGGACTGCCCTCTGGTAGAGGTAAGCCAGCAAAGAGCAGTTTGCAGCTGCTTATTAACCTCTTAGACTCCAGAACAGGCTGGCAACATGCTAACTACCTACCAGAAAAGGCACCTTGATAACTGACAAATTGCAGGCATGCCAGAATCTGTGCCTGCAACTCTTCCACCAATTGACTGCACTGAAAATGGTGCTTCAGTGCCCCAAAAGTTTTCTGGCACCACTGACTCCAGTAACACAGATGTGGTGTGACTGGCTTAATGCTGAGCTTCTAACTTACTCATTTTGGTGCTTTTTTAGTCAATAATGTAATTAATTCAACTTTCCTTTATGATTATTGTAGGATGAAAAAAAAAATCCGTAATGAATTCTTGTCTCTCTGGTTAGCAAAGCATCAAGTCAGAGTTTTATCATGAGTAAAGATTAGTGAGGAGCACCTGGCACCTCATGGGTTTATAGCTGTCGAAGCAGGTGCAAACCAGGAACAAAAATAATAACTAGGATATTGCAATACTTAATCTTGGGAGCATATTAAGTACAGTACTAGCAAAGCTGAAGCGTGATCTCAGAAAATAAGAGCAATCACATTCAACTTGCTTTGTTACAGATTTTCATTCTCTTGATAATCCAATAAAAAACAAAGCCAAAAATGTTTTTAAATGTACAGTGCTCTTTATAAAAGCTAGCATCAAGTAATAATCATCCTGCAAAACACAGAGCCAGTAGCATTTTCCCAATTCTCTGTCTCATCTACACATAGGAAGGTGTTGTAACATGACAATGCCTTGCATGACCTTTGTGCAGTATCACTGAGGAGTAATGGGGACCTCAAGATGCTCAAGTATGGAATAGGATTAAAGCATATGTAACTAAATTGGAGTTGGATCTGCAAAATAAGCATGAACTGCAACAGCGCACCAATAGTGGACCAACAGAAGCTGCTTTAAAGCTGAACGGAGGGTTGCAGAATTGATATGTGATTTTTTTTCCTCCATTTTAGTATAAATCAGTACACTCAAGATTATATTGGTGGGAAAGGTGGCAATTAATACATGCACCTCTTTGTTAACCAGCAGTTCTTCAGGAATTAAAAGGAGAGATGGCATTTGCACAATATGCTCACAGTAATGTAATCATATATATGATCATTTTACTGCTAATGCAGCTCAGTTTCAAATAGCTCCTTTATGTTTTCAAGACGCTTTTAAGATTAGTTCAAGCTCCAGATTATAACTTCACAATTAAGACCAGTCTCTAAACCATCATCTGAATAATAAATCGTACACAATGCCTCCCAGTTCAGAGGGTTTGAACTTGATAACTGTCGCTTTGGAAACAGGATAACAATTTTGCGTATGACTGTTCGGCCTCAGAAGACCATGAAGAACACAATATTTCATGAATCCACTGTAACAGTTTTCCTTTCCAAGAAATATCTTTACTTCCCAAGCTTTAAAAATAATTTACCCATTTTTTTTTCCAATTTGCCTGCTCGGTTCATTCAATTACATAAAATCAAATAAAGTGACTACATTGCAAATGATGTCACATAAGCATCTTTGGGTGGAACACAATGCTCTTCTATGTGAATTGACACTTTGTAGGCCTATTTTTTTTCTTTTTCCTTTTGTCCTCTTAAAAGCTTGTCCAAAATGTCAATCCTTACTTTGATGCATTTTTCCCTCCTACTGTAACAGTTAATGTTACTTTGGCACAGCCAGCAGGGAGGTGATCATCCCTGTCAGCTTCAGGCTTGCAAGGCCCCATCTGGAGGACAGCATCCAAGCCTGGGGCCACCAGCACAGGAAGGATGTGGAGCTGTTGAAGGGAATCCAGAGGAGGCCACTAAGATGATCAGAGGGCTGGAGCACCTCTCCTGTGAAGAAAGGCTGAGGGATTTGGTCATGTCCAGCTGGAAGACGAAAAAGCCCTGGGGACACCTCATTTTGGCCTTCCAGTTCTTAGAAGGAACTTATAAATCAGGAGAGAGATCACCTTTTTGCATGGTCTGATAATGACAGAACAAGGGGAAATGCTTTTAAACAAAAAAAAAGGTGAGAGTTATGTACGTTGAAAGTAATGAAAAGCTCAAAGTAATGGCTCTTATTTTCATTGAAACTACAACAGATACAAAGAGCAAAACAACACCATTTGATAGAGCAAATACTCAGCTACAAAACACCATTTTTCCATACAGTCACCATCATTTTTGCCAGTGATGAGTAGGAGCCTGCATGCTGCTGTCTCGCTCCAATTTATAGGAGGGAGAGGAGGTTCTTTTATTACCTCTATACCCAGTGTGAGATTAAGAAACAACGGTTCAAATGTTGGTCCAACCAGTTTATTACAAATCTTAATTAGAGAAATGGGGAAGGGGAGGACGGACACTATTATGAATTAGGGTAATGGGGAAGGAGGGTGATAGAAAAGATAGAAAAGAAGAAGCAAGGAGTCTTTATAGGAAGCAAGAAGGAGATGGTCACCACCGTGGATCCAGCGTAGTTTGTGGTTCAGTCTTTGATCTTCAGTAGTGGTGGGTTGTTGGGCATTGTTCTGTTGATGACAACTAGAACGACGACAACCACGGCGATGATGGCCCCTTTTCGATGCTTTCAAAGTGGTTGAGTCAGCTGTCTTTGGAGTGACAGCTTCTGGCTCCAGGATCTCAGCAGGAAATTCCTTTGTTCCTATCTTCCTGGCCTTGCCAGCAGATAAGAGGGAGCAGGGAGGTGCCAACTTGTATCTTGCCTTCACAGGATACAGTGATGTCGTCCCCCAGTCTCCCAAAACAAGCTGGAGTTATTTGGTCACAGGCTAGGTCTTCTGCCAGTAAACAGTCCTGAGCACTATCTTCCGAAGGCAAACAGCTAAAATTGTCCACACAGTGATGTTGATTGCCATACAACAACACCCATCACTCATCTTCTAGACAAGTCAGTCTGCAAGTGTGGAGTCTTGCATCTGGAGAGGAATAATTCCATGCACCAGTACAGACTGGGGGATGAGCTGCTGGAGGGGAGCTCTGCGGAGAGGGACCTGGGTGTCCTGGTGGACAACAGGTCGGCCATGAGCCAGCAGTGTGCCCTTGTGGCCAAGAGGGCCAATGGCATCCCGGGGTGCATTGCAAAGAGCGTGGCCAGCAGGTCAAAGGAGGTGATCCTCCCCCTCTGCTCTGCCCTGCTGAGGCCTCCTCTGGAGCACTGAGTCCAGTTCTGGGCTCCCCAGCACAAAACAGACAGGGATCTCTTGGAAAGAGTCCAGTGGAGGGCCACAAAGATGGTGAAGGGCCTGGAGCATCTCTGCTATGAGGAAAGGCTGAGTGAACTGGGTCTGTTCAGCCTTGAGAAAAGAAGACTGAGAGGGGACCTGATCCAGGTCTATAAATATCTGAGGTGTGGGGGGCAGAATGGCGAGGCCGGACTCTTTTCAGTGGTGAGTGGAGACAGGACAAGGGGAAACGGCCGGAAACTGGAGCATAGGAAGTTCTGCACCAATGTGCGAAGGAACTTCTGTACAGTGAGGTGACGGAGCACTGGAACAGGCTGCCAGGGAGGTGGTGGAGTCTCCTTCTCTGGAGATGTTCAAGACCTGCCTGGATGCCGACCTGTGCGACCTGCTGTGGGGAACCAGCTTTGGCAGGGGGTTGGACTCGATGATCTCTGGAGGTCCCTTCCAACCCCTACAATTCTGTCATTCTGTGATTATCACAAGAAATACCTCAGGAAGCAAGCTTTGAGCCAAAACAAAACAAAACAAAAAACAACCAAAGAAGGATTCTCACAGCTGCTCTTGTAAAAATCTGCATGGCCATCCAGTGCGTGGCTTTTTGCTCACATTGCTGTCACCACTGCTAAAACTCATCCACTGCCTCACTGTGCTCACATCCTCTGTTTGCCCATAAACATTCAGCAAGCATCAGTGAATGTCAGTGGGCACTATCTCTCCCACACGGAGGAATAATGACGTACCTTGGCTTCAATTACACTTTCAGGTCAGAAAGCATTCTTGGTTGGACCGCCCCTCTGCTGCCATCTGTCGCACAGCTATGAAGTGCACAGGAACACTGGGGGAAGGCTCAACCAACCTCTGCTGCCTTAACACAAGCATCCTGCTTGTGACGTTGTGGCTCACATAATGAAATGGGAGGCTTTGTTTTCAGATGGGAACTTATACATACGGATATACAGCAGCAAGGCAGTTGGAAAAAAACCCAACACTCTATGAAGTACCGTAGAATTAGTTACTAGAAGGTAGTGTACAATTGAGAGAATATTCATGCTTTTCTAATCAAATACATATCAGGAACAATTTGGTACACCCAGGCCCACTGCAGACAGGGAGAGTCCCCTGTGATGTGCATTTGCATGGCTTTCTCCACACATCTTGAACAATCCTTGGTTTCTGATTCAATATGTATCCGTGCATACGTATGTGCTTCTGCTGAACACACTCCAAATCCACAGCAAGGGGTTGTTTTAGGGTAGCATCACCCCTCATAACTTACTGCAACCGTATGACCAACAGAATTCTGCAAATAATGTACTATTTTAACTATTTCACTTGTTAGAAATATGGAAGTTTAATAAACTTGACACCAGAAAATCTTTTTATGAGGGTTTTACTTTAATGGACTACTGCCACTAAAGGGGTAGGGCTAGTATGCACAAATAAACCAGGGGATAAAATTTACCTTGGATTCAACATGAAGAATAGATGACTTCTCTCATTAGCTGTAAAGATATGACAAACTATAGTCTGCCTTCACCTAAAACCCTAGTGGGGTTTTATTTTCTTTTTTAAAAAACAAACCTAAAAACAATGCAAATTCTTGCATCATTCCTGAAAAGCATATTTGCACCACATCAACTGTTCCATTGGTTAAGATCAAATGAGGTGAAAGGCACCAATAGAACAAACAGACTATCAGCTTATCTTGGGCAAACACACTGCCACACAGGAGAGCAAACTGTGTACATTTACAGCGTGGGCAAAGTGGACATATTATGAAAAAGACAGGGAAAAAATCCAGCAGAAAATATTACGCAAGAATCTTTGTCCTTGTGTACCCTCTAGTGGCTACGCAAGGTTACTCTGTCTTACAGTAACCAGCAGGCAGTTTCTTCACCAGCAGGGAGGGAATTAGCACCTGCTGCTACATTAGCCCTGCTACATCAACAAAGATCCAGAAGATCAAGGTTCTGAACAGTGAAAGTTACAAATCATTTGAAGCATTTAAGTTCGCAAACAATTCTGCCTTGTTAACTGAATGCAACACTGTTACCTAAATTTTCTACCAAAAAAAAGTGATAATTCTCATAACATGTACAACACATTCAGGGACTACACCCCAAGTGTTTGGCTGCATAGAAATTGCAGCAGGTCAGTAGATGAACTGAGCATTGGTTCTTCAGAAGTTCTAGAAAGACAGATACAATTTGATACGTTGATTACATCACTTACAGGAGACACAGAAATTGCATGAGACAGCAACAAATGATTGGGGCTATTCCACAAGCATGCTTTTAACTGAAAGAGACTGTTGTGATTGCATGTACTGAAGAAGTGGATTGTATCAAGGACCAAGACTGCCATCTGGTGTAACACCATGCAAGCAGTCAACTAACATTTACTTTAATACAGCTTAAACAAGCATAAGTGATGGTACTACAGACAAATCTAAAATGAACAAGCAGAAACAAAATTATCCTCTCATCTCCACTGTCAAAAAACAAACAACAAAAGTAGTAAAGCCCACACAAACCACCACACCACCCCTAACCCTCCAATAAATAAAACCTTAGCACTCCAGTCAAAGTACCAAGTCCACACAAGGATTTAAAAAAAAAAATCCTCATTACAATACATAGTACTAGGATATAAACCAAATTATGTTTTGCTGCCTGAACATGCTACCAGTGAAGCAGAAAAACAAGAATGCCATAAGGGGCACAGACTGAGTAGACTAAGCACCTCATATCATGCAAACTGCTTTTGCTAGCAGTTAAATAGTGGCAAAAGTAAGAGACCAGCAATCACTCAACTGTTCAGCCTCCTACGTAGTAATACACAGCTTCACAGGAGGAAGTATTTCTGTGGCATTTCAATATGCAGTGTTGTTTAAATAAGATACATACACCGCCAATGTGAAGACAGCACAGGTTGAATATCTGCATATCAATTTTCAGAAAAAAAAATCTTCTTGAAATTAAATTTGTGATAACACATGCTCGAGATGAAGACTTCAAAAAGTAGAGAATACATATAACAGATGTACACGTCCAGAGCAAGCTGAATCCCAGGAGGTGTGCAACTCACATTGCTTTTAATAAAAAGGAACTCTTTTGTTCCATACAGCATATACAGAGACAGTACTGCCCAGTCCTCAAGACAATCATGAAGAAGCTTCCCTTCATTTGCAGTAACTGGGAGCTCAGCAGCAGAACAGCTGGCTCTATTCTACAGATAGCACATGCGGTGTTTTTTTGTTTTGTTTTGTTTTTCCCCTGGACCCAAAATGAACATTAGTGAAAAGCTATGCAATTGGACAGCCTCATCAGTTCTTCCTTCACCCTATTCAACTGCATCACTTTTTCTAAGTGTAAAGTCAAGCAGAAATCCCCAAATTCTTTCTTTGTGTTGGGTTCCAGAAAGTCAGTCCATTCATTTTGAAAATCACACCTAAGCAACACTATTCTTGTGATTCATCCCCATGCCTGGGTTTTGCAATAATGTAGTACAAGCTTGCCATCACTTCCAAAACACTGCAAGAAAAAGAAAACGAAAGCTATAAGATTATTCATGGACCAGCATATGCACAAAGCAAGAAGAAACCATCTAGGTAAATGTGTTGTGGAGTAGAGACATTCATAACAAAGCTCTCCATCATAACCGGAGGCATGATGTACTTTATGGGAAGGACTGCTTTTCCAAGGATTGTATGAAGTAATGTCTCTTTAATTCTAATACAGACATAAGAATGTCAACCCTGTTACACTAAATTCGAGATATTACCAGCATCACTAGGAGCAATAACATATTTCAAGTGGCAGAAGTATATTAATAACTCTGTTCAGCATGTTTGGAAAAGATATTTTAAAACAAAAATCACCTCATAGAGGGTCCCAACTTCCTGGTCTGGAGATGGAGCAAAGGATTGGTTTACATATATAAACTGCAAGAAAAGAAAACAAGTGAAGAAACGTTCCTTCTAATTTCTAACCTAAATCTCCCCTTTTTGATTAGAACAGTTCCCCCTTCCATCACTCCCGGAGCTGTGTAACAAGCATAATTTTAATTTTGTATTTCAAATAAAAGCTTAAATGGAAAAGCATAAAGATACTGGAAGTACTGCTAATTGTGAAGTCAGCACAATCCTGTTCCTGAGTCTGCTGCAACCTTTCTCAGGACACTTGGGATTCCAAAGGGAGGAAGGAACGGCAATGTACAGCAGTGCAATGCTGCCCAGCTGCAGACATCCCTGCACAAGCCATCTGGAAAAATTAAACTGCTTGCAAAAGAAACTCTGAAGAGAGCAGCCATCAATATTCACAAAATCAACCCAAAGACTTCAGTTTTTCCCAAGTGTTCCTCCTGTACCCCACGCTTCTAAGCTACACTTGAGCACACAAACCTCTCCCTGGAACACACACAGCTGCGATCTGACAGCACAAGGCCAGAAGTTGAGATGGTGCAGAGGGCACCTGGTCCATCCAAGCAGGCACCGCTCCCGGGCGCTGCTCCTGCCCAGAGCACGCAGTGGGGAGCACAGTGAGGGACATTACTGCTGCCTCACACCAGGCCTGGTGCTACAGGCTCAGCCCTGCAGGGCAAAGGCTCCGTACCAGCTGCTCAGATGCCATCAGCTTCAGGAATTTCTTGATGAAGTCACACAGGCCCTGGATGGTCCGGGTGCGCTCCACAGCCCACTTCTTGGTCTTCATAATGGGGGTGTCACCCACGGCCTTCAGCAGGACGTCAACTGGGAACGGAACGGCGTTAATGGCGGCTGAGCCAGGCAGTCAGGGGCCGCCGCCTCTCGCTCTCGCCGCTGATTGGCCCTCGCTCCCGCCCGTCACCAAGCCGTCCCGCCCCTCGCCCGCCCTCCTCTCCCGGCCCGCCGCCCCATCACTTTTTTTCTTGGAGTCACTGGCGGGCTCCTCGTTGCTCGGCGAACCGGCAGGGGAGGCGGCCGGCTCTCCGACGCCCAAAGCCGCTCCGCTCTCCGGGGTTCTTTCCGGGGCCTCTTCCCTGGCCCCGCTTCGCCCCTCGCTCTGCGGCGAGGCGACCGCCCGCTCCTCCGCTTCCGCCATACCTCCTCCCTCCCATAGGCGGAAGCGACGTGAGGCGCGGAGTGGCCCCGCCGCCACGCGGCGTTTTGTCCCTCGCGGGACGCCGCCTTCCCAGTCACGTGCCGGGGGCGGGGCGCGTCACGTGCCGCCGGGGCTGTTCCGTCGCTCAGGGCTGCGGCTCGCCGGAGCGCCGCTGGCCCCACCATGATCAAAGCCATCCTCATCTTCAACAACCACGGCAAGCCGCGGCTCTCCAAGTTCTACCAGCGCTACGTATGGGTGGGGCGGCACCGGGGGCAGGGGCAGGGGGAGGGAGGGAGGGAGTCGCGTCTTGAGGCGTTCGCTGTGCGGGGAGGGCTCGTTCCCGGTTCCCGGTTCCCGGTTCCCGGTTCCCGGTTCCCGGTTCC